TTTAAAAAAAAAATAACCTGAAGACTTATTTTTAATAGTGTAGTTTGTAAAACTTAAGCAGGGGTTCCATTAAGGGCCGGGCAGCAGGCAAATTGACTGGCTGTGGAGATGATTTTGCTTGACTGGTTTGACCATCTAGAGGAAAGTTTTTCTTACAAAAAAGTTCAGTTCAAATAGTTTTGCCCGCCTGAGAAAACCAGTTGCCCTCGTGCTAAAAATGTTAATGAAACTCCTGCTTAAGAGATTAAGGGTGTCATTAAGGTTAAAACATTTCCTGTTTCTTACTAGATACAAAACAGAGAAGCAACAATGAAAGTATGTGCTGAGACTTGAGAGGAGAAAGAATCATGTTGAAACACTGGATTCTATAATAAGTGAGTCAATTTCTTTGTGTTTGGTTTCATGTTCTAGGCATGACAGTGCACAATGCAGGTGGGAAATTTTAAACAAGTTTATGTTTGACTTTCACTGTTCAGTTATTTCAAGAAATGGCAAGTTATGTGGCAATACTACACCTTAGCCCTTCAAGGTTAGGGTTTACAAAAATTCCTTGGGTGGCATTATTTTGGATGAGTATTCTTTTATGGCAGGAGGGACACAGTAATCTAATGTTGAGCACAGTGGACTGCAGATCAACAAGTCTGGGTTTGAGCCACTGGTTAGGGTCTCTGTGTTTTGTTCTTGGCAAAACACTCTGCTCTCACACTACCTCTTCAGTGTTTTTGCCAGACCCCGCCATTGTGGGAATCCCACGTTGCAATCAGATATGGCCTCTAGAAAAACAAAAATGGGCCAATTTGGCCCTTCCCTTTTACAAGGCTGTAGGCTTAACACAGGCATACAATTTTAAAAGCCATCCCAGGGCTTGAAATTGTGGCCAATACGGTTGCCAACGAGACTGACATTTCATTCTCTTGACGATCAATAATGGTTATTTTGTCACACATTATGTCCTTCTAGAAAATCATATTGAAAATCTTTGCTTCTAAAACATTCAACATAAGACAAGAAGTCAATTATCCATCCTTTTGCTTTCCTGTAATGATTCTCTCACATTGGAAAACTTCCAAATGGCTGACCATGTTTGAAGTCGCCCTTTAACGCATTGCAAACCCTTGATCATTGACTGATCATTGACTAAGTCATGTATGCCTATGGATTGTTCTCTTGTAATGCATGGATCCATCATACTAGTATCTGGCGACCAAAAAATTGCATTTATTATTTATTGACCCCTTCCCTAAAAGAGTAGCCCCTAAAAAGGTCTTCGGGGGCCACTGTGGCCCTCAAGTAAAATTTTCTGGCTGAAACACAGTGTCTTTCCATCTATTTGTACAAACAGGTACTGGGGTTAGTACCTGGGTGCTGACCCTGCTACAGACTTGCATTTTATCCCATCTCATCATTGTCAAACCTTGCCCCTGCAGGGTTGAAACTCTGACTAATTTTTTAAATTGTGTAGTGCTGAGAAACAGAGAATCTCATTCAAGGGGAAGAGTAGAACACTCAATATCCCTTAATGCAACAGAGACTGGGTTAAGTTGTGGTGGTTTAGATCATGTGGCCGCCTGATGCAGACTTAACCTTACTTTCATAGTCCAAACTCATCCTAGTAGGGTTAAAACTTTAAAAATCTGATGACTTATTTTTAATCGTCTAGTGTGTAAAACTTAAGAGTTCAAGGCTGTTATATCAAGGTTATTAAAACAGTTCCCATTTCTTACTAGATACAAACCAGAAAGCTGTGTGCTGAGAATCATGTGGAGAAAGACTCATATTAAGGCAGTAGATTCCATATCAGGTGAGCATTTGGTTGGAGGGGTCATCTGTGAGTTACTCAATGTTACCTGTACAAGGAATAATAGCACACAATGCAGGCAGAGAATTCAAACAATAGAGATGTTCAGCCATTCAGGGATCCATATTGGTTTTTTCTCAGCCAGGCAAGTATGTCAGATGACATATTTGCCATGGTAAAATTTTATTTGCCCCTTCAATAGGGAAGAATGGTATCAGAATAGCATGTAAAGGAAAAGTTGATGTTAAATTTGTATGTTTTTCACATGACCAGTTTTCCAGTACATCATGTCTGTAGTTGTGGCTGTCGGTGGACACAGACAATCCAAGTTCGAATGAAAACCAAGGCCTCTTTGACCGCCATGAAGACTGAGAGGACCACTTTCACTCTTCCTGCCTGTATTTGACTTGTTTTTCCAAAGTGTTAACATTACTAAATGCCATGTCCTGATCAAGACAGCTGATGCGATCACACCTTGTGTTTTCGCAGATGCAGATGCAGATGCAGATGCAGTGCGGAGCATCAGTAGTTGACAAAATGAAAATTGAACCTGCAATAATTTCATTTGTGGAGAATACCACATCATCCAAGATACAATGTAGCAGACCAAATTGATGATTTTATTGCAAAAGCAAGCTGTAGGTTTTTCTAGAGCTGTTTTTTAAAAGTTCCAAATGGATGACAAGTGGTCAGAATGCAGTGCACTCATAAGCAAATTTAAGAACTGCCTTTATTCCGGTAGAGTCAAACTTAACTCATTTAGCAGATGCATTTTCCTATTGTTTTGGTTGTCCCTAAAATTTTGTAGTTGTCAAGGATGGCCAGGTGACTGCAAATATGGATCCCTAGCTATTGTTAGTACTGGACTGTGTTCTTGGACATGACATGTTACTCTCACAGTGCCTCCCCCCATCCTGGTATACAAATGGGTACTTGGTGAATTTCATACTGGGGCTAACCCTGCAATAGGCAGGCACCCCATTTAAGCAGGGAGGGGAATAGAAAGATACTATATCAATTGATGCTACAGAAACTGTGATAAAATATGGTAGTTTGGATTACTTGGTCTGATATAGACTTTACCTCACCTTCATTGTCAAACTTCTCCTTGTAGGGTTGAAAATTTAAAAAAATGACTTCTTTGTAAAACTTAAGAGATCAAGGAATTCCCTAAACTAAGGTTAAAACATTTGCAGTTTCTTACTAGATACAAAACAAAGAAGCAAGGAAAAGAGCTATGTGCTGAGACTCAAGAGAATCAAATTGAGACATTGGATCCCATAGTAGGTCAGTTACGAGCAGTTTTATTAGTGTTTGATGTCATGTACTAGGAATAATTTTGAAAATGAAAACAAATAGAGATGTTATTGTTTCACTACCATTCAGCCATTCAGCAAGCTATTATGTGGCCATATACCTTGAGTAGCCCTTCAGGGGAATGGTGTATTAAAAATTTGCAGTTCGAGAAAATTTCCATACTTCCACACAGAAGGGATTGGAATTTCCTGGTGGCCGGGGGAGGGGGGTTCTGTAAGACCAAAAAATTTAAAGAAATATACAAAGCTCAATTAATTGGAATTTCCAGAGGTGTGGGCAGTCTAAGACAAAATCCCCTCTTTGGCAGAGGTATGGATATTTTCTGGAACTACACAATTCCTTAGGTCCCTTAGACTACAATGTCTGAGTTCCTACAATTGTTGATGTAAAAATGGATATTGGGTGAATTTAATACTGGGTGCTAACCCTGTGACAGACTAGCATCCCATCTGCCCCATCACTTAATGCAACAAAGACCTGGATACACTGTGTTGGTTTAAATCACTTGGACTGATGCAGACTTAACCTTACATTCATTGATGAAAAATGTCCCTGTAGGGCTGAAATGAAAAAAATGGTTTATTTTAGTTGTGTAGTTAATAATGATAATAATAATAATAATAATAAAAATAATAATAATAATAAAATTTATACAGCGCTAATTATATAAAATATTCATAAGTGCTTTACATTTTAGTTAATGAAATTAAGAGATGAAGGATGTTATAAAGGTTAACATATTTTCTTATTCTTTCTAGATACAAAACAGAGAAGAAACAAAAGAAGCTGTGCTGAGACTCAAGAGGAAAAACAATCAAATTGAGGAATTGGATTCCTTATTAGGTGAGTCACAATTTGGTTGTCAGATCATAGGTGAACAAGAGAAAACCATAATTACTTGTAAATCACTGTAAAATCTATTGTAATTCACGAATTGTCTTGCACCTGTTTCTTAGAAAACGGTTTTTGCTTGTTTCTATATTAAAGTATTGCATTTTAAAAAACAGTTTGATTTTTTAAGCAACTTTGCTGTTGTTCGCTTGTGTAAATATTTTAATTTTTGTTTGTATTTGGTCATAAGGATTCCTCAATTTACAAAACCTTTCTTTCAGTACTGTAAAAATGTGAAGCTACTCGAGAGCTGTTTGTTTTAAAACATTTCACGAGTTGATTAAAGATTGAAAATGCAAATATTGCCCGTTTTGTTGCAAACATTTTTACCCTAAACGTTTTTGCTGTGAAATATTTAGAGTGGTTTTTCGCCTGTGAGCTTTTCGTCTGCAAACGTTACAAATGAAAGTTAATTTTAGAGTGCTATATTTTAGCCGGTGCTATTTATTTTTGTTGTTGTTGTTCTTACAGTTCTTAGTATCATTATGTAAGCTCCGTGTACTCTTCCATGATGATGATGATGATGATGATGTGACCAAACGACAAGCGCATTCCCGATGAGAGAATTAACTTGTCAACTTTAGTCGAGTATACACTGCACAGTACGTATATTTTGTTCTTGTGTNGCCGGTGCTATTTATTTTTGTTGTTGTTGTTCTTACAGTTCTTAGTATCATTATGTAAGCTCCGTGTACTGTTCTCTGATGATGATGATGATGTGATGATGATGACGATGATGATGTGACTAAACGACAAGCGCATTCCCGATGAGAGAATTAACTTGTAAACTTTAGTCGAGTATACACTGCACAGTATGTATATTTTGTTCTTTGTGTCTCATTATACCCATTGTTAATTGGACGTTTTATTTATCTCTGTTTCAGGCTGCCAACTCAAGTGTACATGTAGCGACATTAACATGGAGAAGGAAGCAAAGGAAAGCAAAGAACTTCGTTTAGATGTTTTTTTTCAGCGGATTACGTTTTAAGAGTAAGGTAGATTTACACGACAAGGTTCATCTCGATGGAGTTTCTCGCGAGAGATTGTTAGGGCGGAGCTCGTATTAGGTGGTTTTATAACACAAAACTCAACAGAAGACAGTGAAATTACTGTCAAATTGTCCAGTATCTCTACCAAGCTGTCTTGTACATGTATCTTGCTAGTTTTCAAGGAAGCCCTGAATTCTATTTCAAGTTTGCAGCCTTAAAATTTAAGGTAGAATCGAAGCATTACCTGGATTACTTTTTGCAACTCGAATTTTCAGCCTGGAAGTCTCGCTATTAAACTCGTTGAAATTGCAGTCTATTTGTCTAGTATCTATTTCACAAATTTGTGAAATCTTTTTAGTTTTCAAGGAGGTATTGAATTGATTGCGCTTTTAAAAGGGCCAAGAAAAAAAATCGAAAAGAAACTAAGTCTTTTAGTGGAAAAGTGTCCTTAGAAAAAAAAGTCTGCAATTTTAAATGGTGTCTGGTTTGGAGTTAAACATATACTGAGACTTTTGGCGGAAAAAATCTTGCACTATGTAGGATTTTTCCTATCAAAAGTCAAACTATATGCTTGATTTCTGGCTAGACTTCGTTCAAAAGCGCAGAATTTTTTTTCTTTTTGGCAACCCTACATAGTCAAAAAATAGTAAAAGAGATAGCCTACATATTGACTAGTTACCAGGCCCTTTTAAAAGCCCAATTTTTTTTATTTTGTTTACTCATTCAAATTGTTTGTAATGAATTTTAATTGAATTATTATTAAAAAGCCAATAGAAGTTATATTTTTAACAGTACTAAAAAAAAATGTACGCAATAAAACCACCACTAGCTATTTTAATTTAATTTTATTGTTTTGCAATAAGTAATTGTTTTTTAATAATGCTAAAATAATGCACACAATAAAAACAACTCTTCCTGTTTTCATTTAATTTATTGTAATGTAATAAGTAATTAATTAAAACGTTTGAAAGAAAAAGTTTGCGTTTAAAAACTAAGACTTTTGGCGGGAAAATTGGAAAAAATTTGCACAGCTTTTCCCCTTACACCTTTCTTGAGAAAAAACTTAAAGAGGTTACCCTTCAGAAGTTTTTGATCGCAAAAATTTCTCAAAGGCAGTAATTGACAGAAAATCCCGTCAAAAACAACTGCATCACCTCGCATTTAAAAAGCAATTTTGATATTTCAAAGTAGTTTTGTTTTCTCGAAGTAATGTTTGCCAAACAGTCTTCAAATTTTATTTTCAACGAACTTCGCGATGGTTTTTTGCGAGGTGATGCAAGAATTCCTCAAGACATGAAAAACATGAAATGACGAATGAATCAAATAGCTACAAAATAAAATTTAATTTCGAAATGGATTTTAAAATCTCGCAAAGTGACCGTGAAATGGTGTTTCAACAAACTGAGATTAATTTTATATCCAATCGAGTTTGATCTGCAACTGTATGTAGCTTGCCATTTGATATCTTTCTCTGCCAGACGATAGTTAAGATGGTACACTTCGGATCAGTTGCACAGGAGCAAAAACATCAATCAAAATTCAAACAAAATTGGAGAGTTGTGTAGTATGTCCGATAATTAACCTGAAGATATTTTCACTGTATTTTAAAGTACCTGTGGTACAACAACATGCAAGAGAACCATCTCGATAATCATATGATTCTGAATGCAGTTTGTAATCTCTGAGAAATTTTCCTTTTAGCCTTCCGAATTCCTTAAAGTTTCCCAAAACTTTCGTTGCCGTTGGGAAATCTTCGGAAGTCTGCGGAAATCTTCCAGTGATCTCCGGAATCATGATCCATCGGCGATCGTCAGAATACCTCGGATGGCTGTCGGCAGCTGATCGAAATTGTCGTATTTTTTCAGAAATTTTCGTTATAGTTTGCAATCGACGTTTTTGGCCAGAGTCGATATTTGTTTTCAAGTGTGTTTCAGATTGTTGAACATGTTTACATATATAATTACATAATATAATTGTGTGTTCATGTGATCAATTCAGATGACAATCCGTACTCTTTCAAGAGTAATTTTCATTGTCCTGGCACTTTTCTGTTTTATCACTTTATGAATTTGATGCTTTATTCGATGAGAATTTAATGTTTGAATATAACTTTAATAGTAGCAAAACAGTTTGAATTTGTTACAGAATCGAATAATTTCGTTTATTCCAGCAGCAATGCGGTCCAGAAAAAACACTCTATATATCTTCGAGGTTTTATTCGAACTGAAGACGGTAAAATTTTGCGCGATAATTTTAATTCTGGCAAGATAATCTATCACGGTTGTAGAGTGAATCATTCGTTGTTTCCAAATATATTTTTCGTTGTCGTACAAGCCATTTAAATCTCCTTTTGCCGAAAAAAAATACCCATTAAATGTTACATTACTTCGTTGATTCCGAGAAATTCACATGGTGTTGCCAAATGTAGTGCCACCTTAAAAACTCAGCGTTGTTTATCCACTTAAGATATTCTCTGAAATCATGTCGACCAAAATGGTGGTTACCAGAAGCGAGATCTCAGATTAATTACGGCCAAGGTTAGCTTTGAAGAATATATTTCAGTCGTTCGAAACAAATAAATACCATGACTTCCTCTACCAGAAAAAATACCTCGACAACTAATCCTTACAGCGAAAGCTTCAAATATATTACCACCATTTTAATCGAAAGTTATGAAATTAAAATTATTATCTCGTTGTTATCTCCGCTGTTGAATAACCATTAACTCCTCGTGAATTTCAATCTCTTCTTTCGTTCGTCATACCAGTGAATTCCATCTTTGCCGTTGGGTCATTTTCTCTCCTTAAAAAGAAGAAAAGAAACAGAAACAGAAACATAAGCTTTTACTCGGGATAAAATGAATTTTAAAGATACACTATTACTACCAGGGCAAGCAGCGAACAAAGCTCGTATGAACCGGCTGCACGTGGTAACGGTTTTCAACTTTCCGGGAGCAACACGCGAAGAGAAGAACAGGAAATATCAAACACATTCAGCGCAAGAATCTTATAAACTTGTGCAAAAAATATTTCTTAACAATTTACTGAATCTTTTCATCTCAGTGACTGCATAACTACGACTATCTGGTTTATGAACGAAGCTGTGTGAAGCTTGGCAAAGAAAATTGGGAGCTTAATTAGGGTGCAAGTTAACTTTCTGTTTGGTTAAGAGCAAAAAGATCAAAACGTGCACTCACCATTAATATTTTAATACTTCTATCTCGTCCTGTTTTATCTTCTTCGAAGGAAGAACATGGCCAAATCCGACATCACCAGGAGCACAAAATCCACGTTTTGACACTATGACCAAGTGTTTGGTTTGGCGCAAATTCCACAAGTAGTCATGAATATTGATTACAAACTAGAACCAATCGCTGACAAAAACGTCGCCGCATATTTTCATGACTTGGATTTGAATTTTTATACAAAACTATTGTATCACTTCAAAAATATCAATTTCACTTCAGATATCTGCATTTTTAGCCTTTATTAAGACAATAATTAGTGAAATTATTATACATTGTAGTCACCATCTGTCTTCTCATTGTCTAAAAGCAGTTACCAAAAAATGTTCCTGCGCGGCAAAACCTACTGAAAAAAAAAATCATTGAAGGGGAGCCACGAGGGAAAATAAATCAAGCAAGTGCTTCTACTAACCAGGTC